GTGCCTGGGACTCTTCGGTAGTATGCCCCGACTGGGGTTTGAACCTAGAACCTTCCGGTTTTCCATTTTTGGTGTACATCTCTATTGCTGTAATTCAGCTCAGGATAATGTAGGCTGAGATGACGTTTTCCTCCATTGATATAGGAATAAAGCTTGTGCACTGCGGTAGAGTGTAAGTCCATTATAGGTAAATTTTGTTTTGATAAAGTCTCACAGTGTTATTCAGTAATGTTTACTGATGAAGTCTTTTTTTGTGCTACTTAGTGCCATTGCTCGGTTTTTTAAACACTTAACTAAGTCTGCCTTAACAGTTAAAGGATGAGATGAATTAAAGACCTAAATGACGAAACAAAACAGATAGAAGAGGCGTTGGTGTTAAATAACTATCCTTTAAAATTCATTAGGAAATTTGAAAAAGGCCAAAAGAAAAATAAAAAGAATTGTGAAACTGGTAATAATAACATAAATAAGAGAGAATACAAGTCATCTACAGTTATACCATATAAAGAGGGGACATCTGAGACCCTACGTAGGATTCTAGATAAAGCAGAAATTAGGGTGGCATTTAAACCTACAAACTCACTCAGATACAAGCTCTGTAGGTTAAAGGACCCAGTTGACCCAATTAGACAAAATAATATAATTTACAAAATACTCTGCAATGACTGTGAGGTCAACTACACAGATCCAACTAGTAGGTCAGGGGTGGTCACATTGTCAGAACATAAGAATTTAGCTAATTTGAGGATGGTTGACCCCGAGAAGATAAGTAATTTAGGAAAACGCCCAGCGATTGCACTGCATGCATTAACACACAACCACACAATAGGGTGGGAGAGGGTTAAAATTCTAAAAAGTAATCTAGGTAGGTGGAGAGAGAGGTTGATTACTGAATCCTTGTTCATCGAATCTACACCCAACACATGCAATAGGAATGATTCATCACTCATACCCGAAATATGGAAAATATTACTACCAATCAAATCAAGTGAAAATCAACGGAACTATATAAATGAATTTAAGAACTCGTGTGATTAACTTGATATGATTATGAACAATAAATTGTGTTCGAAACGTCATCGGTAATTATTAAAGTATAACACTGTGAGACTTTATCAAAACAAAATTTACCCATAATGGACTTACGTTTTCCTCCAGACTAAAAGAGTAATAGACTGACTTTCCGACATTACAATAAGAATCGCCAACAGCGTTATGTGATAAAATGAAATACATGAATAATTAATGCACTTCAAAGACATGTCTCAAACAGGCGTAATGTAACAACCGAAACCTACGTGTTGCGGTCTGAACGCAGGAAACCAGTCTATGTGGTCTATTGTGTAGTTAGCCTGAACTTCCTTGAGTTATATGCAGTCACAAAATGCCCCAATCACAGTAAAAAAGATGGTAATTTGAGGGAAAACATACGGTACTATTTATTAATAGTAATATACTAAAACGTATGCGTCGGTGGTACAGTGGTTAGGATGCTCGCCAACGATGCACATGGTCCAGGGTTCGATACCCGGCCGACGCACTCCTTTACCTGGCTAAGCCAGTAATAGGACTGGTAAAAAGGGAAGGTTGGGCATGAGGCTAGCAACCCCATCCTGTAAAAATTAACACTGCTACAGAAACTTCAAGTCACTAGCTTGAAGCCCTATGTTCCACTGGGAACGTGAAGGATTAAAAAAAATATACTAAAACTCAGAATTACCTGAACAATGCCATTAGGCACCTATGCAGATCAGATAGGTTTCCAGTACAAAACAAGTACCTGTAGGACAAAATTAGTCAATCAAAATCCAACTGTTAGAAGTACTTGAGAGTCAAGTAGAGTATTCCCAAATACATGGGATCAAAACTCTGTCAATAAGAGTCACGCACCAAACAATCCTCTTAGGTACTCTAAGGTCAGAATGACCCTGACTCACTCAAACAAAATCGCAGTTGCAGAAGCAACACATTATCAATATCATCACACAAACACGAAGAGAAGCACTGAAATTAGAGCTTGCACAGGATCAAAGGCAAATAACAAGGATAATGTCAACATATGAATTAAAAATGCCTGCTTAAAACTTAGACTACCGAAAACTTCCATCTCTCTATCTTATATATTTCCTTTCGTTTGGTGCGTTTTAATCGATTAGGATATGACCCTTAGTGGTACTATCTACTCTTGTATATATTTAAAGTGTTTACAAGCTCCCGATTCGCAAGATCCTACTGAACTTGAGGAAGAGCCTCATTGCGGGGATGGCGACGCTTTCCAATACACGAGATAACTGTTCTTCACTTATGTCTTTGGGTCTCAAAATGTACCCCTGAAAATCTTACAGTCGGCTTTCAATTAGATATCGTGGATTTCTTGAAGAAGATAAAGCAGATATGTCATAATGGAATGGTTAGGGCTTCAGTTTAGAGAGAAATGTGTCACAGGATATTATTATTATTATTGTTCCCTTGGGTTCCTAGTGGAACATAGGGCTTCAACTGCACGTCTCCACTTCCTTCTGTCTTCTGCTGTTCTTTTCACTTGCGTCCATGTTAATCCATACTGCTTCAATTCCAATTCGCACGATCTCCTCCATGTCAAACGTGGACGTCCCACTCGCCAGTTCCCTTTCGGGTTCCACTCGAGCTATGGCCTGACGCGCGATGTCACCCAGCGGCTTCCTCAGCTCAGCGAGTGTCCAATCCATCTCCACTTTCTCCTGCATATTTGTTGGGCGATCGGTTCCTGTTTCGTTTGTTCCCATAGTTTCTTGTTGGTGATTCTTTCCGGCCATCTAATCTTCAGTATGGAGCGAAGACAGTTGTTGATAAAGGTCTGCAACAGGCTGTTGGAAATATTCTTTGTGACACACTGGCCAAGTTTCTGATCCGTATAGAAGAACTGACCGACTTGACGTCGTTTGTATTGAAAATCCGAATTTTGTTGTTGATGCTAAGTTGATTGACGAAGATTTCCAGATTGGTTTCAGGTTGATGAATGTGTTTCTCACCTTCCCGATTCTCGATTTGACATCCTCGTCCGTTCCTCCTGTAGTTGAGACAATGCTCCCTAGGTAAGTGAATGAAGTAACCTCTTTCAAATCCCTCCCGTTGATAGTGATTGGCACTGGATGTTGCTGCTGCTGTTGTTGGTTGGTTATTTTCATGACCTCCGTCTTGTCTATGTTCACCTGGAGTCCTGTCTTTGCTGCTTCTTCGACCAGTTTGCCGGTTTTTGCTTGTAAGTCTTCGATTTTGTGTGACATCAAACATATATCATCCGCAAAATCCAGGTCTTCTAGGTTCTTCACGTCGGTCCAGGATATCCCTGTCTTCTCGTTTCCCCCTGTCTGACGCATAATCCAGTCCACCACAATTAGGAATATCATTGGTGATAATAAGCACCCTTGTCTGACTCCTGTGTTCACTCTAAACGCCTCACTGAGTTTTCCGTTGTGGATCACTTGACATGTGCCGTTGTCGTACAGTTGTTGAATAAGGTTGATGAATATTTGGGGTACGCCATAGTACTCGAGTAGTTTCCAAATAACTTCGCGGTCAACGCTGTCGAAGGCCTTCTCAAAGTCTATGAAGTTGAGGTAGAGATTTGATTGCCATTCCATGCTTTGTTCGATGATAATGCGTAGAGTTGCAATTTGGTCAGAACATGATTTGCCTTTCCTGAATCCAGCTTGTTCTGGTCGGAGTTCTGTATCCAATGCGTCCTTTATTCTCTCCAGGATGATGCGACTCAGGATTTTACTTGGCGTCGACAGGACCATGATTCCTCGCCAGTTCTTGCAGAGTCCCAGGTCGCCCTTCTTTGGTAGTTTCACTAGGTAACCTTTCCTCCAGTCAGTAGGCACCTTTCCCTCCTTCCAGATCTTTTGCAATAATTGAGTCACCATATCTGCCGTCGTTTCTGGGTCCGCTTTCAGTGCTTCCGGGGGTATTCCATCTGGTCCAGCTGCTTTTCCAGCTTTCAGAAGCTTGATTGCATTCATGACTTCAGTTTTCGTTGGAGGATTGGTGTCAACTTGCAGTTGTCACAGGATATACTGTCAATTATTATTTTATTATCTGGTATTAGTTTTTGTAGGGATTTTGTTTGATTGGTTGGAGGATTTCATTATGAGCCGGCATCGGTTAGAGAACCATTGCAAAACCTGCAGGGAGTCCTAGTGTTTCGGACTCTTCAACAGTACACACCCATCGAAAGGGTTTAAACCCAGGGCCTTCTGGTAACAAGGCGAGCGAGCTCGTAGACCATTAACCGACTGGGACTTCTGCCAATTCACGACGTAGCGCAACCATTTCACGTGAGACTGATTATGCAGACGACTTTGGTTCAAACCTTGCTACGATTAAAATTTTACCATTCCACTTTCAGTAGTCACCAGTAACAACACTAGCGCTTCATCGATCTTAGCCTGTTACATATTCAATCATCGTCGCCAATATTCTGCTACATGTAACAAAAAATTTGCATACATATATATTTTTTGAACTTAAAACAAATTCAAGGTCAAATGACTCATTTCATTATAATCTTTCTTTTACTGGTATGTTGATAAGTTTACGATACAGACCTCCCTTTCTTTAGAGTGGAATAAACTTTCTCCACTGACACTGAAAACACACATTTATTCTCTCACCAACCAAATTTCAACTTCTTAACTCATCACAGTAGTTTAACTGTCCTACCAACTAACAGTAGTAAAACAAAAACAAAAATAAAACCGCAGTAAGTACGTTAACTTCTAGACTAAAATAGTCGCATGTCTAATTATAGTCTGTTGAATCACATAAACAAAACTTCTTACTATACTATATAAAGTGTATGTGGGCTTTACACATCGGCAATAAGATGAGGCCTATCAACCATTCTGCTAAACAACCAATCAACGCACAATGACCTTGACGAGTAGAAAGTACATTGGTTGAATGATGAAATATTCACAAAAATTCCTAAAATATATATAACTTTACATTTCCGTATGTTAGAATTTAAACTTAATGTAATATAATGTATATACAAATCCGAAATGTTACTGCTGAGGCGAATAGTCTTTCCAAGGCTTGTTTTAATCTATTATGCAGCTAAATGTCATTTGTAGTACACAAATATTAGGAGAATAACTTATCTAACGTCATGTTATTTACACGGAAAGCTCAATTTAAACTTTGGAATTTAAATCATTATTATTATTACTACTACTATTTGATTTACCTGTATGGATTCTGTTGTTTCAATCTAGTCTCTCCCTTCCTCCTCCCCGAACAACTTTTATTCAGAAACTATGAGATAACAGATCTGGGGGAAAAGTTAACTAACGCTGTACAAGAAGTGATAGCATCAGATTTGATGAATAAACATGAAGTATTTCGTTGGACTACAGTGACAGGATTCAGAGAAATTGTTAACGACAGTCGTACAGCATGGTTTATTTTCGGTGGATCAATGGATAGAATAACTGTCAACTCATCAGATCCGTATACAAAGAAAGCGGTGGCAGTTGTTGCCTGTCAACTGTCAACTTCTAGTCTCCAGAAGAACAACCGATTGGATTTTATTGACTGTTATCCACTTGAAGCGAAAAATGTATCAAATCAAGAAAGTGATCATACTGGAGAACATCATGATGGTACTACACTTTTAGGCATGAGTGTTGCAAGTCTTGAGTTTGAAGCACCTTTCAATGGTGCGGTTGTAGTGTATTGTGATCCATTGTGGCATACTGGAGGAGTGCATCATGGAGTCCAGTCTGTGTTAGATGTAAAATATCAAGAACAACCTGGGGGTAGATGTCGAATCCGACTAAGGCATAATGGTGAATGGTCTCGTCTAGCTGCATCAAGTCATCTAGAGGATACTATTGAGTTTTGTACTAATTCTGGTTATTCCCAGCCTTGTGGTGGTGGTTTTTCTCTAGATTTGCAACAGACAACTACTATAGATACTGTTAATGCGAATCAGTCACGTGTTCCAGAAGAGCAGTACTCCTCGTTACCAAATATTCAACTACTCACTAGTTTGTTTTTAGCCAATCCCGGTGAAATACAAGTCTTGGATGATATTTTGACAAATTTCAGAAAGGAATCTAATCAATTGTCGCCTGAAAATTTTGTTCACAGAATTCTAGGGAAACATGTCCAGTTTAGTCAACAAGTGAAATGGACACCATCATCTAGTTCACGGAAATACAATTATGAAATTGAGGTGAATAGCTCTGCATCAGGGATAAATACATGGATGCATGAAAATTTGGCGATCATTTCTTCATTGAGTGAATTAAATGATCCAAGCATAAAAGCTTTCAGGCCGAAATCTACCGAATCCGACGATCGATTAGTTTACAGTGTGATGAATGATGAAGAAACCAATGAGACTACTAAGTCAAAAGGTGATTTCACTGGATTCGGTTTCAGTATGGAAACAGTGAATATTCCAAAGTATTCTAAAGCGAATGGTATTCAACGAACTGATTATGGGATTGTTATTGGTGCGCCGTTTGATAGTTCTGTAAAACGCTTTGGTGTTAATCATGGACGAGTATATATTATATGTCCTGAGAAACATGTCACTACAAAAAGTAGTTTATTTTCAATTGAAGGAAGACGGAAGAATGAATTCTTTGGCTATTCAATTGCACGTCTTGGTGATGTTGATGGAGATGGAATTGATGATGTGGCAATTGGTGCTCCAGCAATACAATCAAATGTTGTGGAATTATACAATGAAAATTCAAATGTTTCATTGAATAATGGTCGTGTTTATATTTATAAAGTTACACCTCAGTGTACACTGGATCCGATTCCTTTGCAGGTAAACACGTTTGTTTCATAATAGCCATAGTGACATACTGTATAGATGGCGTTATAAATTATTAGTTAAGGAAAATAGTGTTCAACTTTTATGCTATATTTATTTTAATTCATTAAAGGCGCCTATTAAATATTTCAAAGACTGATTAATGAACAAAGAATAGTCTGTTCGGTAAATTCGTCATCATATTCTACATTGACATGACCACAATAGTTACAGAAATATCGTGAATGACAGCAATAATGTTTTCAATGACATTGAAATTTATGGGTAATAATGGCTGGCTGGACTTGTTTCTTTTGCGCACAGAGCTCCAGTTGATTTAGATGAATTGAAATGCTATCTGTTGTTTGGAGTATTCGGTACCTAGGGGCTTTTGGTAACTCATTCGATATCCGATAGATGATAGGAGGAGACTCTTCAATGTTAGCTAGCTTTCTGGCTTTATAGAACTGTTGATGGCTTTTAACTACGCTTTTATTTAACCATACTGGAGGGTATTCCCGAGAATGGAAAATTAAGTTCCTAGAGCAACGGCTAATATAATTACCAAAGGCCTCTAAATACAGAGCACCCCAAACAGAAAAAGCGACTGAAATTCGCCTAAATCAACTGGGACTCTGTGTACACAAGAAACAGGTCCAGCCAGCCACTACTACCAACCTGGCCTGTCGTCGAACCGATAAGTTCATAAATTCTGTGTTACTTCCCTTAATTTATCTAATATTCAGTCAATTTAGTGTTATATGTGGTGTATATTATCTCTCATAGTAAAGCTTTTGAAACTTGACCTATTGATAATATTGTCTTGATGTAATTTAAAACAGCACTGCTGTTGTTAATAATAATGTTTCTTTAATTATAAGGAATAATAAAAAGACGGTTGCAGCTAAGAAAATTTTCTCCTCGACGAAGTCACCAACTAGATAGATGAACATTCATGTATTTATAATAAATCGGTGGGATAGTTCCAGAATAATTTCCGGTCAAGGATAAAATAATAAAATTAAAATTCGGAATTAAAATGCCATCATAAACAAGGGAGATGGATAAAATTCAAACAAAGTAGCATCATAATTACTGAGAAGATTTACATATTGTGCAATTGGGGGTTAGAAATATAAAAATAACAAAATAGACAGGATGGTTGGATAAAAAATCTAGTGGGATCATAACTAACGTGACGAATAATTGCTTATGCAATTAGGGATTAAATATGCAGAAATAATAAAATGACAAAACAGGCAGGAAGTTCGGATATGAAAATATGATAGTATAAATAGGGATTAAGAAAAACTTAAAAATACCATAAATAAACAGGAAGTTTGGATGAGAAAGGTAATGGCAGGAACAACGGTTGGACGTATTTATTTTGGATACATGGCGTGGGTTTGAGGTTTTGGATGGCTAATGCCTCGACTATGCTCAGGTGTTTTAATTTTACTATTTTTTGGTAGGTTTGATCGAATTTAGTATATGATTTTGAAGGCTTTTTCGAGTGTCGCTGAATGTCCTGAGTTGACCTGGCTGAACAGTTTCTTGCAGGAAAACGTCTGTCGTTACTGCTGTCATATAAATGTAGAATGTGATGGTGAATTTTTAGGAAAGTATATTCTTTGTTCAGTAATCAGTCACTTATATCCTTATTTGCTTGTCTCAGAAAATCAAACAGTTTGTATCTCCAGAGCTCATTTATACTTATGTAAAGTGATTAAATTATATGAATTTTTAATTCATATTATCATCATAACTTTAGCTAATGGAATTTTAGAATATAAGTATCATAGATGAAGACAACTCAGTATATGGTACAAAAAGTAGTTGTGAGCAATTTATTAAACATTTCACCTCTAATCCCATAAACTTGATCTCATAACCTATAAAACTCATGTTTTGCTGTGTCACTTTAAATGACATTAAGAGTTTAAAACATTTAGTCCCCTTTGTAAATTTGGATAGCTTCACTAGAAGACGGAGATTATCTGAAAAACAATGTGATGTATTTGCTCTATACATTTTGAACAATCTGATATCACACACATTTACTTGTCAAGTCGATATATATGAAAAAGTTAAATTAAATAAAGTGACAAAAAAGGGATTTAAGAATGATTAACACAACGTTTGATAATCCAATCAACTAAGGATTACTAAGGTAGGTTAAGAGTAATAATAAACTGTTTTTGAATACACAGGAGAGGGCTTAAGTTTATGAATAGCTATAGCCTCGACGTACTTCAATAAGCACCCTTGACCATTTTTTTAAAGATGACCTTAAAGGCTGTGTTAACATCAATTTTATGGTTCATTTCGATTAGGTGTTTAGCTATAGACGAAGTTGATAGTCTGACACCTGCATCTATTGGTTTTCCACAATTCATTTGTTTTCCTAACCATTTTGCGATATGCTCTCCCACCCTCACATGCAAAGCACGATTACTCCTCCCTATGTATGTGTGTCCACACACACACACGGAAATCGGTAAATAGTGTGGGATGTCACTTTGTTTAATTTAATGGCCCTTAATTTTTTCACGAGTTGATCACGGATTGATATCAGTTAGAGAATCATTGACAGCTGTTTCATCCTAGTTTGGGAATCATCGGCAGTACGCACCCACTGCGATTCGAATTAGTGAATTCGTTCTCACTGTTTTCATTATACTAAAGTTTCCGAGAATAAGGAAGTTTAGTAGTGGCAACACTGAAAGCAATCATTCTCATATAGTTTCGGACAGTATGTCGTGTTCGAAAATTTATTGTAAATGAATGTTTTCTCGTGAACTGTGTCTACTAATCTCCGGGTACAAGAGGACTATCTCTAGGATTAATTTCAAATCAAAGCTGGACAAAAAAATCATGTTTAACCAGTTTATAATAACAATAGCTTTATTCTGAAGGAGGAATTTAGATAAAATACAGAATTTTCAGCAAATTTCATAGAAAGGTATTTACTCCTTGTGCAGTATCTTCAAATAATATAATAGTCGATGAAATATCATTTGATGTGCGTCAGTGGCACAGCGGTAGAATGCTCGCCAGCCATGCACTTGGTTCGGGATTCCACCCCCAGCCACAGACGCACTCCTTTACCTCACTAAACCAGTAATAAGATTGGTAAAGAGGGAAGGTTTGACATGAGGCTAGCAACCCCATCCCGTAAAAATAAACACCACTGCCACCGAAACTTCAAGCCTACAGCTTGAAGCCCTATGTTCCACTGGGAACGTAAAGGAATAAAAAGATATCATTTGATGCAATATTGTTCCACCTGAAGCTTGCTCCATCACTACTTCACAATGTTCTTCCTCCGTTTCCTTCAAAAATCTTCCTAGTGGTAGGTAGAAACTTTTCTGGAATAGTGAGCGAATTGTTAGTCATTCTTTGTTAACTAGACCATTAAAACAATATGAAACAGCGGCGTAAACACGATGCATTTTCATGGATAGAAAATGTAGGTAGTCCAGTGATCTAAGCAGGCCGCCATTATATTATTTATAATAAGGTTTAGGCGCTAGTGAAAGACAGCTAGTGTTAGGCTGCTGACGGAATGTAGCACAGTCATTCATAGATAAATAAGTTGAAATGGCAACTTCGTACTTAATATTTTACTTTCAAAGAGAGGGGGGCTCTCCATCACAGTCCACTCTGAATTGTTGCTATTAGATGGTTGGAGGCAATCTCCCACAGGAAGCCTTGCTTGACCAAGGTTTCGTGCTTGTTGACACTCACCAGTCAGTCAGCAAGAGGTATCTGCAACCTTGACGGAACTTAAATTCCTTCTGAAATTCCAATCAGCGCCACCAATGAGAGGTGTTACCCCTAAGCTATTCGGACTCTCAACCGACCTCCTTTGGGACTATGTTGGGTACTTTGACTGGACACTAACTAGTGTCATACGTATAGTCCTTTGTGTAGTATAGACTGAGTTCTATCAGTCAAGCTTGGGAACATCTATAAGTGCAGCACTAAGTCACTGGGGTTCGAATCTGAGTAGGGAAATGAGTCCCTTCAAGATTACAGATACGTCATTGTTGACTGGTGAGTGCCAACAAGCACGAAACCTAGGTCAAGCAAGGCTTCCTACAGATTGTCTCCAACCATGTAATATTCTTGAATTTATATATTCAGAGAAATTCATAAAAAAGAATGAAAACTGTCACTTAGATAGATAGATAGATCCTTCAAGTGACGAAACTTATAAGCACTGACAAAGTGTTCATCTTGAAATTAAACTTCTTTGTACACATACTAATGTTCAAGGCTTCTTTGTTAAGTGATATTAGTTAAAAATTGAGGCATATCTATTTACATTTTTCAACGAATACTTGTAAGCCAACTGTTGGATGGTGACTAGCAGTGGAATCCAGGATGTGCATTTCGTCCTATTTGGGACTCGTCATCTGGATGTACCTGCATTCCCCAGTGAGTGATGATGTTCCCACCTAGGCTCGAACCCAGTACGTTTGGAACTATGGGCAATAGGTTCGAGTCTGAGTGGGAACATCATCACTCACTGGGGAATGCAGGTACATCCAGCTGACGAGTCCCAAATAGGACGAAATGCGCATTCTGGCTAGATTCCACTGCTAGTCACCATTCAACATTTGGCTTCCAATTACATTCCCAGACATTGTCGAAGCATCTGAACAAGAAGTCGACATGTCAACCTGAGACCGAGCACTTCAGTCCAATCATTCGACGGGAAAATCTAAAACCGAATTGAATAGTTGTAAGTTTTGAGTAATTTTGACACTTCACAAAATGATCGATTGAATTTTAAAATATCTTGGCTACCTCTGGCTAATTTTAATCATTGTGCATGCATAGCTTCTTTATTATGTGAGTGTTTAATCTTAACATTTGAAGTACCCGCCAAAATTATGGTTTTACAGCACTTTGACCAAACAACTAGTTACATTGTAAGGATGATAACATTATGCGTCATATATATTATTATAGAAAATCAAAACAAGTGATTCAGCGAAGAGACTGTTTTC